TTCATAAGTTTATAAATTATGATTGGACATACAAACGGACAGACAAGTAGAAATAGATACAAATACACAGGGTTCCCATGCAAATATAAAATTAAAATGAAAATGAAAATATATACTGGATCTAATGAATGTCACAAAGCTTTTGATAATGTTTAAATATCCTCAAAATCGTGAAGTTTTATTTCAACAAGAAATCTGAATATTAAAAAAAAATTCTTTGAAATTGGTTTTATAAAATTTATAAAGAAAGATTTTTTCCAGAAATTTCATTGAGATTCAAATCTGAAAAGAGTATTCAAAAGGCTCGTCTCCTTTCTTTAATTAGTTAATTAGGATACATGGAATAAGGATACATGAATAAGGACACATTGAATAAGGATACATGGAATGAGGATACATCGAAATAAGGATACATGGAATAAGGATACATGGATAAGGACACATGAAATAAGGATAAATGGAATACACGCACCTCTGACCCTTCAGTAAAAGCAAATTTAACCTAAAGTCTGACCGCGTCAACCTTGTTGCACCGGCTAGTCCTATCGAGTGTCTGCTTCATTTACCCAATGTCCGGGCGATACAGTACAAACTGGGACCGGAAGAGTTGACCCGGCTCGGAAATTCAAATGTACTACGGCTGCCCGTGAATAAGGATACATGGAATAAAGACACATTGAATTAGGATACATGGAATGAGGATACATGGAATAAGGATACATGTTATAAAGAAGCATGAAATAAGGATACATGGAATAAGGAAACATGGAATAAGAATACATGGAATAAAGATACATGGAAAAAGGAGACATGGAATTAGGATACATGGAATAAGGCTAATGGAATATGGATACATCTAATAAGGACATATGGAATAAGCATATATGGAATAAGGATACGTGGAATAAGGTTACATGAAATGAGGATACGGATACATGGAATAAGGATACATGGAATAAGGACACATAGAAAAGGATACATGGAATAAGGATACATCGAATAAGGATACATGGAATAAGGATACATGGAATAAGGACACATAGAAAAGGATACATGGAATAAGGCTAATGGAATATGGATACATGGAATAAGGACACATGGAATAAGTATACATGGAATAAGGATAAATGGAATAAGGATACATGGAATAAGGATACATGGAATAAGGATACATGGAATAAGGACACATAGAAAATGATACATTGAATAAGGATACATTGAATAAGGGTACATGGAAGAGGATACATTGAATAAGGATACATGGAATAAGGAGACATGGAATAAGGAAACATGGAATAAGGAAACATGGAATAAGGAAACATGGAATAAGGATACATGGAATAAGGATACATGGAATAAGGATACATGGAATAAGGAAACATGGAATAAGGATACATGGAATAAGGATACATGGAATAAGGATACATGGAATAAGGAAACATTGGATAACTCATTTAGTTCTCATGGATGAGAATGCGAACATAAAATAAGAATGACTAACATAATCAAAACTTTACATCCAATGGAATGGATTTTAATCAAGAAAGTAAAAAGCAGTTCAACTATGAACGAACTTAATACGTAAGGTTGCTAAGATTATTCAGAATTAATTAATCTATTTGTATAGTTTGTTTATTTGTCTGTCTGGTTGTTTTTAATAAACGTCAACACGGGCGAAGCGATCAGGCCCAATTGTCGTGAGTAAAATTATAAAACCCGCGTTAAAATTACCACAGCGAAGTGAATCCTGTCTGTTTTGGAATATCTTTAGTCATATTTTAATTTTCTATTCAAAACTCGTCAAAAATAGTGTAAAGACCTTTTTTACTGAAATATCATATAACATTATACATAGCCCAATAACATAGTATAAAATATAAAATGTGAATCCTCTATATTTAATAATTAAGAATGGGTTCCACAGGACCTTTAGTTTACAGTGGATCCCGGCCCAAAGTTTATAAATGTTGCCTCCACAAATTTTTTTTTTTTTTAAAGTTGATTAGGTTTAGAAACCACCATTAAAACTTTAATAATTTAATTGTATTCACAAAAAAATTGGTTGCAATTAAAGAAATACTTGAGAGCAAAATTTATTGCAAGAAAAAAAAGTTAGACTAACTTGTATCTGTTCTCTCGTGCACCGGGTCAAACTGACGCAAAGTTTACCCTTGTTCAACTTTCGTTTGTTTATTTATTTTTGAAAATCCTTGTTCATAGTTAGATTAGATATACAACAATACTATCTTCAACAAACTTAATTTAAACTTTCATATTTTAAACTTTTGAAAGGTTATTTCCTAAAGCTAAACCGAGGAGGGAGGGGCGGGCAATTAACACTCTCCGATCTAGGAAAGTCAGGGATTGTGCAACGGTGCATGCTCTACTAATTTCGCACCGGCCCCGACTTATCTTTGTACTATACTGGGATTAATTCCGCCCGATGGTTGGCTTTATTTCAATAATTTATTAAAAGATAGCACATTTATAAAGTTATTTCAATTTTCTATTTTGGAGAGAACATTGTTCACTCCAGCCTTTTCACCACATTTTTTAAAGCTATAATTTATGAGTGTAATTCTACTATCTACATCTACTCGTTTCAGCCTAAAGATATGAGTGGATTTGATTTGATTTTTTCTTCCTTCTTTTAACATAATAAAGTTTTAATTTAAAATGACATACCCTTTTAATATCCAAAACATTACAGTGAAACCCTAAAAACTGTGGACTAGGAGTTAAGACGAATATTATGATGTAACACAGCATTATTTAAGTTTCAAAGCTTTTAAACTTGCTGCCTGAGTTCCTAGTCATACTTCCTAAACGCCAGACTTTTAAGTAGAACTGGAACAATTTTACCGTATTCATTACAGGCTTATGACAACCCCCCCCTCCCCCCCCCCCCA